CCCTTCTTGTCTCCCTTCTTGTTGGTCATTGTGTCCGCCTTGTCTTCCTTCTTGTCTCCCTTTGTCTCCGGTCTTGTCCTTCTTGTTGGCCACTGTCTCCGTTCTTTTCTCCCTTCTTGTTGATGTCTCAAAAAGTGGACTTGGGAATGCTTCGTTGTTGTCCCACCTGTTTGGGGTCTAGGGTGGTGTAATTCGTATAGCCTAGAAACTTACACCCCTGAACATCAACCACAACCCCTGGCCCCGCTTCAAACCAGTCCCGACCGATCAGGAGGGCAGTGTGCTCTTGGATCCCATGGGCGGTGTCGGAACCATTGCCATCGAGGCGGGAGCGTAGCGTAGCGGAGAGAGTTGCGGATCGCTTTCGAAGTCGAAAATGGGTTGTTCAACCTGGACCGCCTCGTTTTGTTTATGGTGATTTCTAAAGTTAAATAACCTTCTGGGGAAGATGTTTAAGCAAATTCCAAGACGATGTGCGGTGCCCGACCATGTCCACCCCAGCATGTCCATGGTGTGGATGCGAGCTTGAGCTGAGCTGCTCGCAAGACGACCGGCACCTCGAAGGGCGGGACCTCGTGCCATGACTCTGCCATGACTCATCCGAAGAGGCCATGGAAGTGATCGGGCGAACGCAGTATGATGGGTGATTTTTGAGCCAGGTAGCCGTGGCTTTCCGGTTAGGTTCCCGGTCTTTCGGATGATCTCTTAGCAATCGGAACGGATTTCTTCTGTGCCTCGACTTGGGCAAGCAGCCCTTCACGGCTCGAGCGCTCAGCGCGAAACGAACACTGGTGATCAAGGGACTGAAGGCATGGCGCAGATGGGGTCAAACAATCTGGACATGATACCAGGACCCTCCAAGGGGTGCCCAATGGAAGCCTATAGGTAGTGTGGGGTAGTCCATTGGACACCCCTTGGAGGGTCCGGGTATATGTATGTAATTGTATGTATATACCGAACACCCCAAGCAATTCATTTGTGTTTTGTATGTTCCATGTATTGTTGGGGTATGATCTTCAGAAGATGTTGTGTGTTCTATTTCCCCCAATTTTTCCTCTACATCCCTGGACCATCCAAATCAAATAGGCCATTCAATAGGCCAGTATCTAAACTTCCAGTTCCCATTCGTCCGATGGCACCTCCGGCACGCCATCCTCGCATGGGCACCAAGTCCACGAGCCCCCCTCCGCGCTGGTGAGGGCAGAATCTCCGATCACTCCAAAGCACCGATGGGAGGGAACGAATTCAGGTCCCAAAGAAGAAGGACTTCAGAGTTGAGCCCAGAGAGGCCACAGAGTCTTAGTAGATCTACCGGCCGAGTCTGAGCGATGGGCTTCAGCCTACTGGCGATGGCCCCCGAATATCAAAGAACTGTTGTCGAAAACACCCAAAGACACCCAGATCCGCAGCTCAACGAAAAAATTGCGCAACAAGAAAAGCACCTTCACTGTCTCCTCTGTGACGGCCGATTTGTGTCCATTTGTTTGATGGTTGGGCGCTTGGTGGATGCCCGACTTCGCAGATGGAGCCTCCTAGGCGAGCAGAGGGAGGAGATGGGAGGAGGTTACAACCCTAGGGCTCCAACCACCTCCTGAGAAGATGGTTGGGGTGGGATTGGGGGTCTAACCACCTTCTGAGGAGATGGTTGGAACCCTAGGGCAAGTGGGAGGATTCTGTTGGAACCAACTTGTAGCCCTGGTGTGGAGGTTACAGGCCCATGGGGAGAATCCAGCGACCCTTCTACAGGCCCTTCAAGTATCAAGTGCGGTCACGAACTGGAGGTTCTCCAGGCCCAAGCCTTTGAAAAAGAGTTGAAGCATTTCCAATTCCTGGTCTGGTCTCGGACGAAAGCGTTCCTCGTTGTGCCTCCTGGCTGCTCGCCCAAAGCACCGGGATCTGGCCGACCCTGGGCGAAAGGGGACCCTCAACTCCCTCGCCCCCACGCTTTGATGTGACTTCGGTGCAGGGAGGAACCCTCCCCTTCTCGCTCGGTTCCAAAAGTGTTTTTTTTAGCAACCCATTTTTTGCCAACGCTTCTTCTTTTGTTGGGTCGGGGGTAAGTGCGAACTTCTGTTGCTTTCGTTGGAATTGTGCACAAGATGACCTAACATGACCTAATCAGTTACTTGATTCACATCATCAAAAGTCCACACACCCACACACACCCACACACGCACACCTCCACACACCCTACATCCCCACACACCCGTTCCTACACCGGCACACGCACTCACGCACTCACGCCGCGCAGGCGCCCCAACGTTCCGACTGGGGCGTGCTGGTCCCGAAATCGCACAGACAGACCCGCTCGGTGTTCCGCGCACGGTCCTCCAGGCGTGCTGGTCCTTTGGTCTCGCTCCGCCGGTGTGCTGGATGCCGCGACCACGACCGGTGCCACGACCGGCCCGGTGGACACGGACTGGACGTTGGAAGAGACGGACGAGGAGGGCGTGCCGCTGTCGATGGTCGCAGACGTGAGTCAGGTGGCGGAGCAGCTAGGCCGGGAGTTGGCAGAGACGGGGGTGGAGTTCCATGTAGCGAACTGTGGCGAAGAGGTTTCTGGCTTGGTTTTTTTTTGGGAGGAAGAGATGTCTCAAGGTTGGGATTGTTTCAATTTCAATGTCCACAATTAGGGTAATAGTGGGAGACTTAAACCATACCTCCTGCCATTCAGGAGTCCCACGTCAGCAAGGCATTGGGTGGTTGGTCCTTTTCATCGATATACAGTACATCATATGTTTCTTTTGGAATTTGGCCAGCAATGTAACATTACGCTGACTGAAGGCCGGTGGTCTTGTGTCTGACTTTCTTCTTCTCACGCAAGACGAGACATTCATCAATTCAAGTCGGCCAAGTCTCAACTCACCATGGATATTCAAGACGCTTCGCGTCGACAGCCGCCCACACCGCGCACGAACATCCGAAGTTAGGCGCCAGGTTGGCTGTCTTGCGGCTGCATTGGAGTCATCTTGGGGCCAACTTCGTCTACCTTGGGGCCCATAATGGTGATACAACTTCGGCATTGCCAAAAGCCATCCAAAAATACACCTCCAAAGCGCTCTCCCCAGTGGCCCTGCAGCCGAGCAAGAATCAACGCAGCAACCACCCCAAAGCACAAAAACTCCTTCAAAGCGCTCTCCCTAGTGGCCCTGCAGCCCAACCAGAGCTGCGCACGCGCGAAAAAACAGGCCCCCCCTAGCAGAGCTATTTGCATAGGATGTTTTTGCTAAAATGCAGAGCTCAAGAGCCCCAAAGCACGCCCTGCACCGACAAGCGGTGTGGGCGGATTTCTTTTCCCCCGTCTTACATCCCCCGCCCCACCGAGAACGATCTTCCACAGACTTCCCGAGGTCCGTCGACCCGACGATCCGGGTCAGGCCTCAACGGAGAGGTGGAGCCTTTGGCCGACCGACTGACCTTGCTGCGCTTCTATTTGCATCGAGACCGTCAGGCACCGTCGGGTGAGCAGCCGCGTCGAGCGTCGGTTGTTGGGTGCCCCTTGTTCCTTTCAAGGCTACAGTAGAGGGGAAAGTAGATGGGTTCTGTAAAACGTGCATATGCCACGAGAAAAGAAACATGTCTAGCTGGTTTAGCATCATTCTCCAGATTTTTTTTGCCACTCAAATCAACAGCGGGAAGTCAAGAAAGTGCCTCAAGAATAGTCTAATACTCTACACGGTATCAATATCGACCCTGTTTGTCCTCTATTTGGGAGTATCAGATGCAAACATTCATGGCCTGTGAAAAGGGGTGGGTGGGTGGGTGGGTGGGATAGCTTGGGGGCTACTAAGGCCTAGGAATTCAAATAGCTATTGCTGCATAGTATACCCTCCAAGTATTCAACACTCTTGGAAGTTGACGATTGCCACATGGAAGGCGCCCTTGCTCCAAAAAGGGGGGTGTTGGACCAAATTCTTCATTTCCACACTTGTGAGAGATCGAGGGCAAATCATGCTTGCTGATTGAAGAACCATTCCTTTCACTCCCACTTCCCCGCAAGAAACATCAAACAACCTTGGTCTTTCACCTCTCAGTGCTCCAACCGATGGCCTTTCACCCAATGCTCCACCTCCTTCCTTTCACCCCGCGGCGACTCAGGTGGCGTCGGCGGTGCAGATGTACAGGGAGACCATTGCTTGGCGTCAGGCCTTCAACCTCAAGCAGGTCATGGCGGACTATGGCCATGGCGAGGCTGTGGGTGCCGTGCGGCCCCTCTTCAGAGGGGCAGGGGGGTCGGTCCGCAGGTGAATTCTCTCTGGGTTGAGAAGTGGGTCTCTCGGTGAGTGAAAGCTTGAGGGAAAGATGGAGGAGCAAACGGCAGTCAACGCTCGTTCGCTGCTTGGTGATAACAGTGAGATGCCCCCTAACCAGAATGGATCTATGCCCCCTCTGGGGTAGAGTGAGGGTCTTGACTTGAACATGTCGTTTGTGTCGAAGCACTGGACTCAGTACAGCAACACACACCAACCTTGACTCCGCCTCCTTTGATTGCTATGAACACAGTGAAGCACTCTACCACCCATAAGCGGTGCTTCATCGACACGGGCTTCCAGGGGTCCCTGGTACACTCATTGGTTGATGAACAGAGGTATACCGGTGTATTCGGTGTATCCCATTACCTGTGACAGTCGTTGAAAGATTATTCTTGGGAAAGGCCTTGACTGGCCACTATGACTGGTAATGGGATATACTCCAAATCAAGGGAATACCTCCAAGTCTACAACCAAGTTCAGTCTATGGTACCTGCCACTGACTCCTCTATCATTTCCAAAGCTTGGACATCATTGGGACGAGCGTACCTGGATCCCCTGGGTCCCCAAGGACGGGGAAGAAACAATGCACATGGGGTTGGGTTCATCAACGGTCTACATGAGAGTGCTAGAGGGTGTCCATGAAATGAGGTGGAACAGATGTACTCTGATCTATACACCAGGGGCTTCTATTGATCGCCCCTTAAGAGGTTATATAAGGGGTGTCCATGAACTACCCCTGACCGTGGGTCCTGGTAAACTCTTATTTTGCCGCCTGGATGGGGTCCCAGACCATTGGATGGATTCCCTGCCAGGACTATGGAGAGGATGGCATGCGGCTCTCGACGGGCCCTTGGCGATGGACCTCGGGGCACCCAATCCATTTCTGGCCCCAAACGTTTCATGCATCTTGCCAAACAATCAGCCCCAGACAGTCCATGGAACTGGAAGATATGCCGCCCCATTGACCCCGACTTCCACCACCCCAGTGTAGGCATATATGCCAGTCCCATTAGTCGTGTCTGGGAGCAATTCATCCAAGCAGACTTCTCTGCAGAATCAAATTTCTCCAGTAACAAACCACCGAACACCTCCGAACACCTCCACCTGGCCCCCCCAAATCGGGTCCAGTTCGATTCTTCCGACCTCAGAACCACCGAGCCCAGTTCGACATGTCTGTGTCCGGACACCACATGTTCCAGGACGTGGCATCCCAATGCTCCAGCAGCCATCCATGTGGAGCCGTTCGTCTTCTTCGGCCGCCTTCCGTCTCCGGCGCCTGATGGTGGACCGGTCCTGGTCTGGCGAGCTGGGCTGGCGGACTATGGAGGCTTTGTGAGGGAAGAACTGGCACCGCGGCGGGAAGAGGTGTGTGGGGAAGAGGAGTCTTTGGGCGGTTTCGATGGAAGGCAGCTCGGATGACATCGAACGTAATGGGGAACGCGACCTTAACCATAGAACCCAAATCCAGTACAGCGCGTGTAAACCACTTTGGTAGGTTGACTGTGAGAGCTTGGAGGGCTTGGAGGTCCTTGCACACTCTGTTTGTCACCCATTTCGGATTCAAGTTTTGCATAGTGTCAACCGAAAAATCCGTTGTTTTCACTAAGTCTCTAAGTCTGGGACTCCCATGATGGTAGATGGTAGAGCTTAGCTGCGTCCTTGACTCCAGTTCCAATCCCCTCGTGACCGAACTTGATCTCCTGGTTGCTTCCACTGGCTAGGACGAACTCCATTCGGTGTTGGTCGCGACGACCGAAGTTCAGAGGATCCGGACCCGAATCCTTCCCCGATTGGTTTCGGACGGAGTCAAGGAGTTTCAGGAGCGGAGAGATCACCGACAGCTGGATGACATCCATTTTTCTCTCGTTTATATCACACCGCGCTCGCGCCAGAAAAACATGGGGAAGAGAAAGGTCCACCGTACTGGTGGGCGTAGATAGTGCTGAAGGCGTTCCATGGGAAGAGATAGATATTTTTCTATCCAAGGGGGGGTCCGGGTCTGGCGAAGATTCAATCTTCCTAGAGGAGTCTTTGGGAGGTGTTTATTGTTTTCATAAATGACCAAGACCATTCATGGGACTGGAATCTATGCCGCCCCAGAAAGACTCATCCCTACGCCCTCCGAAGTATTCATCAGCCGCCTTGGCGAGTCCCACGGGATGGTGCTTTGGAGTCGGCCCTTTTTCCCCGAAGAGTCTCCTGGTGGATGTTGGGACGGAGGTGATCTGGGATGATCTGAGGTGGACGAGATGATCCGCGCCTACGTGGCACACTTCGAAGATGCCCTGCAAAGTGCGCGCAGCACGTCCAGGGGCCGCCTGGTGCGTGCGCGGGTGGTGGTGGATGCCCAGGGCTTTGATCTGGTGAATTTGAGATATCTGCAGGTGGGGCTCTGGGGCGATCGGATCTGGGGGATCTGGGGGGGTGCCGGACTCTTGATGAATCAACTCCCCCCTTAGAAATGGATTAAAAGACTTCTTCAGGCTTGGGGAGATTGAAATATCATCACGTGCCCACAGTCTACATGATGGGGGGGATAGGTGTGAGGGACTGGGATCTTACCAAGGCCTCAACTTGGGGGACCTGGGTGTCGAGAGACATTCCTCCAAACCGGTTGATGAGCTTTGCTTAAAAAGGTTCTTGACTTACTTTTGTATACTAAATAGCTACTGCTTTCTAAAATCCTTTCTAAAATAGCTACTGTATACTACTGTATACTGTATACTTTTGTCCTTTCTAAAATCCCCACGAAATAGCTACTGGCACCCCGTTCACTTGAAGGCCAAAGTGCTTCCATGCTGGGGTCCATGGAACCGGAGCCTGCCTCACCAACCACGGATTCCTTTCGAAAGGATCCAATTTTTTGGTCGTAAAAATCGACACTCCCTGAAATTGGAAGTGGAAACAATGATGGCCCCATTGCATGACCATTTTCCGAATACTAAACAGGTGGTGAACTTCACTTCCATGATTGTCTCGATACCCCAACCTTCCAGTTCCATCTATTTTGGGACTCCAACCTGAAGACTCAGCGGCGAAGCATCTCCCGAAGGCAGCCCAAGCATCTCCCTCCCAGCAAGCACCATCTTTTTCGACTTTGCAGGTCAACTGGAGACTGGTTGGAGCACGCAATCCCCTCAAATTCCGCCCACCTGTTATACTATGGACGGGTGTATGTTATGCACGTTGGTTCTTTTAAGTTGCTCAGACTTGCGCCTTACTTACTGGGCTTCTCTCAAAATGAACTTGACCCTCAAAGATGTTTACTCCTGCCAGACAGGACTTCCATCTTCGCATGCTGCATGCCCGTGGTCCGATCCATGTCCCGATCCCACCTTCTTCATTTTCAACCTGTGGGAGGAACGTTTCGAGCACGGCAGGTGCTTCATCACATCATGCGCTTGATGCAAGCTCCTTGGCATACCCAGAACATCACTGGAGCGATTGGCCATGGCCATAGTCAGGCTTGGCAGGTCGATTTTTTCAAACCTCCCCCAGAACTCCTGGCTCAAATGCCGAAGACCATTTTGGGCACCTTATGTAGATTGGGAATTGAGTCAAGAGCCTTGAGGGTGGTATACTAGTGTTCCCATAGGTAGCTATGTGGCAAGCCAGTTGAGTGGGGTTGTTGACTCTTTCCCCCCCGACACAAACATCTCTTTTGGTATCTTTTGGTGACTGTTGGATTTGTCCTGATCAGGTAAAGCACGATGGCTGTCGGACTGATTTGGTTTGATGAGCATAAAACATAGCGAGCTTTTCTCAAAAAAGAGGAGGGCGATTCAATTTGTGGGATCAGTCCTTGTCAGACCAATCACATCTCTTTTTTTCTATGTCCAGAGGGTGCCAATGCGCTGGCCTAGGTTATTGAACACGCACTGCCTACCAGGAGTAACAAAGGGCCTGGTTTTTAGATGTTTTTAGTTCCTAAGTGAGTGGATAATGGGCACCCCTATCCTCCAAGTTCGGCACCCTTTTGTGACTCCTGGTAGGCATGGACCAACGATCGATGGACCTCCGCGGTAGACCTTCGTCAACGGTGGACCCCTAGGGTCGGGTGTCGGCTGCCAAGGGCGTGGCTGGCCCTTGGCCGACCCGGTTTGTCCAAGGGTTCACCAGAGGTCCCAGATGGGGAAATAGAACCAAATAGAACGAAAGGACTGGACACACATGTGTAAACACTGGCACAACACTAGGGCGCAAAACAGCACCCCATGCTGTCTTCATGTCAAAACCATTTCTCATCTCCTCAACTCACTCATCTATGCAAATTCCTTTGTGTTGTTTAATTTTGTTGCCTCTTTCTCCTCTTTTTGCCGCTTGCTTTCTATACCTCCGACTCCAATCCTGGTCAAAACCGCCTTGGCGTCCACCGCCCACCTCACACACTCGCTTCCGCCGCCCCAGGACCACTTCCCAGAGGTCTCGGCCTCCGTCACGGTGGTGCGTGCGCCCTGGAGCGTGGTGAAGCTCTATGAGCTCCTGAAGCCTTGGCTCTCGCAGCACGTGCAGCAGAAGGTGCCCGGCCGTCACATCACGCGCCGGTCGAAAGAACCCCCACGCCCCACGCCCCACGCGACGTGGCGACTCCTCGTGGCGACTCCGCCAAGTTTGTGTCGGAGGGTTTCGGCAGGGTTGAGCGAGAAGGATTCTTGATATACCCAAGGCTCAGAGTCAACCAACATGTAGCAGTTTGAGGGTCCATGAGCCTCTGGGGTTAGGATTATTTTTGATCGGTGTTCCTGGTGGCTAGTGGGATGTATGTTCGGTTCTATCTACTTGAGGAGCACATTGCAAGTAGTATTGCAAATACGTTGTCAGGACTCTACTAGGACGCTTGAGACATAGACTATTAAGGTATCAGATCTTCTTTGTCAGTGTATTTCAATCCAAAGGGCATTTCCCCGGAAGTAAAGATCTCTCTTGCATCACAGTTCCTTCTTTGAGCCCATCACACCACCATTTTGACATTTTGAACCCCACTTCAACACCCACCACAACACCGATTTCACACTGCCACGGGTTCACATCATTTCACGATATAAACCTCCTACATACATCCTCCTACAGTGTCACATGACATGAACATCTCCATGCGGCCGCCTCGCCTCCTGCGGCTCCATGCGACCGCGTAGCAACGCGACTGGAGGTCTGCTTCCTCGCCGAGGATTTTGCTGCTGGACTCTGGGCCCACGCGCGGCTGAAGCTGGCGATGTTGCCCCAGTTTCTGGGCGGTCACGTGCCGGACGAGGAGATGAGAAGAACCACAGCAGGGGGGAAGATGGGGGGGGGGAAGGCGCCCGGTCGCTGGATGATGGGCGCCCTGAGCACAGGTATTCACCAAGCATGAGCCGAGAGAGTCTATAAGGACGGTATAGATGATTTCAGCGTCGATCACGAGGAAGAAGGATCCATTCCGGGGCGAAGTCTTTCATCTGATACCTCGAGCGATAGGGGAACACCCTCCAGGTCCAGGGGTTGTTCTGCAACCGTTGGCCGTTCTCTTTTCTTTTAACATGGGCAGCACTTGAACATGGGCAGAACTAAGGCAAGTGGAACTGAAGCACAGACACTGAAGCAGGTCACTGCAGTACTATGCAGTACTGCATGACTTGAGTTGTTTTCACCACATGTTGAACTGAAGCACAACTGGAAACCACTGAATTACCGAAGTGGAGCCGCCCCCAGGCGGCGCCAGGCGGCCGGTTCCATCACTGCGGGTCACTCGGACCTTCGGACCGAGAGACGGACCCAATGGGAGCTCCGTTTTCTCATCTTTTTTTGTTGCCAAGCGTGGTTTTGAATGGCCTGAAGAAACAAGCGTTACGAGTGTTTGACGATGTGTTTTACCCCACAAGAACAGGTCAACTGAACTCTTTGAATGGTCAAACTGAAGGCTAGGATATGTCCACCTTCGAAACCAAGGAGCCGCAAGGGTTGAAGCAGAAAATCTCTGTCGCGCAGGAGGCTCCACTGCAAGCGCAACGGGTGCCGGTGAGCAAACCTGATGCTGGGGACAGTTTCCTGCGAGCAAGCTGGGCTGCCAGCGATGTGTGAGCCAGTTCTCTACTCTGCAAAATGTCTCAAAATAGGGGGTCACCCAGGATGAGCTCTGTGAGATCTTGTGGTGTCAAGTTCATCTGGTCCTTTTTGAGACGTCGCCGTTTTTTCGCGAGCAGCAGCCATTAGAATGAACCATTTTCTCTCTTGACCGGCGCCGTGCGCGGGATCCAAAAAGGCGTTCGCGGCGCGAAGGGACCCTTATGAGGTCGTAGTCTTTGATACCCCTCAGACCTCTTGCCACAAATTCGAAAGATTCTTTCGACAGGGACAACACAACAACATAAAGACATATTAAAACCCACCACTTGGGATTGGTGCTTGGTTCCAGAAATGGAACGCTTTATGATCGGGAAGATGCAAAGGAGGCGATCAGACTTCCAAACGTCGTGAAGCCCACCTATCCCTATCCAGTGCACTCTCAAACACTTAGTTGGTCATTTTTTATCCAGAGAAGTTGGGGCAACTAGCTACTAGCTACTGCAGCTGCAACTAGAAGAGGGAGTGTACTGACATGCATGTGGGTCAACAGCGATTGAACAGGAGACTCTACGAATCAGGATCTTTGTTGAGGGTGCTTGGGTTTTTTTCGTTCAGCGATCCGAAGAGAGAGCAAGAGAGAGAGACTTCTCCCAGGACCATCGCTCTGGGCTTGCCTGTTCTGAACGCCTAGTCTATAGTACTGTAGTAGCATAGGCTAGTCCAGCCAGGGCACCCCAAATCGGAGGCTCCTGGTCACCACCTGAACACTTAAAACGGCTCCCATAGCCACCACACCTGTCACACCTTTTTGTGACACCTTTGCCACTCCAAATCCACTGGTGGAGTTCGCTTCATCTAACTCAGTATAGTGTACCCTGACAGTCCAAATGACGTATTTTACCCCTATAGTAGTGGTGGATGATGACTACCAGGTGGAGTAGTTCATGAGTCATTGGAAGTCCTGGTATTATCATGGCTTCCTTTGGAAGCCCCACTCGCCCCCCAGCCGCCCTGGCTCAGCCAGGCCGCCGTGCGCGTGCCGCGCCTCCGCGCGCGCAGCTCCGACCTCAGCGGCGACGCCACGGCGGCGGCGCGGCTCAACGCGGCACAGGCGGCGGCGTGGCGCGGCGGCAGTGGGCTGGGAACGAAAGGGTTTGGCCGACCGACCGGACAGGACACTAGGACACTAGGGGTTCACTGGAAAGAATTATAGTCATAGTTCTTGGGATCTTGCACTTTGGTCAAGTTGGGTGATGTTCTCATATTTTTATCCGTTTCTCGGGATTTGTTCCGAGTGAAAGTGTTTTTTTGTTTTGAGGCTTGGGAGATTGACCCATGCCTTTCGGGAACATGGAAGATACCAAGGCCCAGGGTCGGGGCTGGGTGACAAGTGGAGGAATGGACCTCAGGATCAATGGGTACCAGAGTTGTTGGTGCGGATAGATCTCTTAGATCTAAACACATACAGTTATATACTGTACTCAGGGTCCTACTTCACAATGCAAGTTCTTGGAACTTTGAAGAGAGTGGATGCTTCATGTCCGCCAGATCGAATTACAACGCCCCGGGGCCATAGCCGACGAGCCCGACCTCCGAGCGACTTCCGAAGAAAGACGACTGACCACTTGATGAATCTTGTGTGGCATGTCATGTCACAAGCAGTGAACTCTGGGATCAGACCATCTTTTCCATGCATGTGTTCATTCTGATTCCACAAAAAATGAAAAAGCGGGCGGTTGGCTTCCAAGACATTCAGTGCGGATCTGTGCCGATCTACATTTTCGATCTCTTTGGGGGGTCCCAACTTCCTTTAACTCCGGACATCCTTCTAAATGGTTTGCTTCTTTCCCCCCCCTGAGCCCGCGCGAGAGAAAGACATCGCCATCGGCCGGCCACACCGCGTGGAGGAAGATGGAGACCTTGGGGCGTCACTTGCAATCTGAACTCTCTTTCACATCTTTCGTCACAGAGAGGTCCTGCAGCACCTAATATAGCACCTACGTCGTAATATATCAAACACGGGATGTACTGAACTTTGGATCACAACCCATAACAATCCCCACGTCAAGGGGTTGCTGTCAAGTGAGGTGGAGTGACACGCTCGTGGCTGAGGTTTCTGGCGCCGGGATCCTCCTTGGAAGTGCTACAGGAGAGGTGAAGTCCGCCAGATGGGGCCAGATGGCGCCGGATGCCGTCCGATCACTAGGTCAAAAAAGGGATTGCAATCTTTTTGAAGTGATTTTATCCGGAGGGTATGAAGATGGACACTATGGGGTGATGGCATTTCTGTTTTCAGCAAAAGAATCCCTAGCGCCTTCAGTGAAAGATGGGGTACGTTTGACAAGGTTCCCCAGGCTGGCAAATCATGGAACACGCCTCAATAGTAAACTTTGCCTGAACAATCGATCAAGTCGGCTTCAAAAAGAGCAAAGAACCAGTCTTCTACTAGGTGGAGATGGCTTGTGCAAGAATTTCGCGGTGAGTCCACTTGCCACTGCAGCGTCCATAAAGCCATATAAAGCCACAACTTTCAAGTAGCCTTCGACGCCTTGGAATCCTCAGCAAACTTTCACCCTGCTTACTCTGCTCTAAAACCAGTGTCTTTTCCCTCCAACTTCCCCTTCTACGCCGCCCAGCGGCCACACACCGTGCTGCACCCCGCGCCGAAAAGCGCCGCAACGCCTCGCCACCGCTCGCCGTGGTCCGTTCAGGAGGACTGCCGTCGCTTGACGCTGCCGGACGGCTCGGTCGATGCGGTGGTCACGGACGTGCCCTTTGGGAATCGCAACCGACTGATCTGGGCCACTGGACGAGGATGGGATGAGAGGGGAGGTGAAGGTGGACTTTCGAAAGGGGGGAACGCGGTGGAACGTGGTGGGAGAGTAGCCCACGCCCACTCTGTGGGCTTCAGCATGCAGAGTTGATGTTTTGAAAAGACATATAAAGGAGGTGGGTACATGGTACACTGGCATTTTCAAGATGAATGTGTTTGGGGGAAGCTTGACAAGCATACACGAGGGGTTCACTTGGTCCCTGAAAGGCAGCTTTGTCTACAAATCTTGGCACAACAGTTATACTTAGGGTTTTCCTTTTGGTGGCCGGCTAGCAAGATTAAGCCGAATGGGTCGCCACTCACTCCATGCCAGTTGGAGATCTACGTCACCAGCCCCGGTCGGAGCCAGGGGCGGAGATGTAACTTGTTCCTTCCTCCTGCCACATAATATAGCTGCAGTTCAAGTTCCGGGTCTTTGTCTTGCTATTCGAATAATTACACATCCATGTTTGCATCCAACCAATCGCGGGGCTTTGCGCCTTCCAGGTCAATGGCCTCCTGCCAGCCTTCCTTGCAGAGCTGCAGCGCGTGCTGCGGCCGCAGGGCGGCCGCGCTGTGCTGCTGCTGACGCGTGCGCATGCGCGGCAAGTGGTGGCGCTGCTGGATGAGGCACAAAGAATGACTGGGGGGGCAGATCTGCATAAAAACTCTGCAGATTGCTACCATCTGGTCCGGATTTGAACGCTCATCACCTCCAAATAATACAGAAGATGCCTGGGAATCTAGCCTACAACATGATTCAAACATTCAACCTCAATGTTCCCTCTTCCTTCATGGTTCCCCCCTGGTTGGGGCGGGAACATGGTGTGCTTTCTGCCACGACTTTCAGAGTCTGACATGGTCTTTTGTGCCCCGGATTCACTGCTGTCAGTGGTTTCTGATGGTATCTGATTGAAGCAGCGAAGTGAAGACATCGATAACAATTTGGGGAGAGAAAAGACGATGATGTATATAGTGGCTATACATGGCGAGGGAGACCCCCTGGCCGTGGCTAGGTAGACTGGTCTATTTCCCAAACCTTCCAGAGTGCTTTATACAGAACTTATTGGCTCTTCCTGAGTCAGATATGGTCAGCTGCAACCCGGCAACCCGCCCGGTTTGTCTCGGAAAAGCGCTCTGGCGCGCCCTGGCGCTCCACGGACCGCCCCGTGTCATGACACAGGACTGCTTCAAAGGCCACAGAACCGCCGCGAACGCGGCGGAATCCGCAGCGCAAGGAATCCATGGTTGTATCAGAATCATGACTGGTTCCCCAAGGTTCCGAAGCATTTTGCGCCCCTAAGGCACAGAACCATCCAACGTGGACCTGCATCTCCTCCCCCGCCCATCCCCCAAACGGCATCCTTTGGAGCAAAAAGCAGAGAGCCACGTCCGCCACCGCGCACTCCATCGGCCCTTTGAACGGGTCCTCCTGGTGGATGGCTGCCAGATGAAGAGCTTCGTTCTCGTCGCGTGGCAGAATGGGTGTCCCACCTCTTGGGCTTGTTGGGGGCGACTCGGGGCTTGGACCCCCCTGGCGGCTTCGGTCCGGACCGGTCCAGTCAGGTTCACCGCGAAGGAGTCAGTTCGTTGCAGTAAAACACTCTCTGAAAGAACCGGAAGTGAAGTCCAGCTGTTTGGTGTTTGGATTGATTTGGTCATCCGAACGAAAGGGGCCCACACCATCCACGTAACGACCATGCCCCTAGACTTCCAAGACCATTCAAACAATGGTTGACCTGGTTTCGTAGTGTAAAATCCTTAGTTGGTTCGGGATTCAGCCTATTAAATGACTCTTTCGGGGAGTGTCGTAATGGCACCGGCAGGGGCAGAGATCCTTTTTCCGAACGGACCTCTCGCAACGTGTGGACCGTCGTGACTTGGCTTCTTTACGAAGCAAATCCACCCAAACTCCAAGTCGTCCTGGTTAGACTGGTTTTTCTGGCTGTGAGTCAAAACCTGCAGCCCGGAACTCACCCTGGGTTGACCATGTCAATGTCGGCGTTGATTCTGTTCCATTTCGCTGGTGAAGGTCCCCGGTCCCCGCTGAAGAGCAACTATACTCGCTCGCGCTCTTTTTCCACTTGAGCCAAAGTAACGAAGTGCATACCCGATTGACCTAGTTTCTGGTGTCGGGTCTTCGGTTGATGGACTTGTGGATCTGTGATATACATTGGATGATCCGTCCATTCCCAAGCTGATTGAAATTGATCAGCTCTTCTAAAAACCATTGAAAGCACTGCCAAAAATAGCCTAAATGCTACAGCTTGGCTTCCAAATCTCTGGGCCTTTACATATGGGATTCCATAGAGTCGAACTCTGATGGAGTACTTATCAACGTACTGATTCCATGCAACACTGTTCAGCATACATAGAAAGCGTACATCATCCAGCACGGATGGAGCTTCACA